TAGGATTTCATTAGAAATTTTAATTAGCAATTTTAGAGGCTCCTTAATAATTATACATTTTTTGAAGTATAAATCAGGTACAGTGAATGCAGCAAGAAAAAATATCTTGATACTGTACAGTTACAATTTGTTTTTGCATAGAGTAGTAGCTGTAGTATTATGTAATTTGTAAACTGAATATATGACAATTTTTTGAAACATTCGAGACAGTAGGTAACTTAAATTCTTTACAGAATTTCATACTTCCATAGATAGTCTACTTTCTCCAAAAATAAATCGCGTACTATTTCCTGTACACATGTATATGTATGAAATACATACTCATACTTCAAACAAAGTCATGTAAGTACATGGTAAAACATTTTATACATAGAATTCTAGTTAAAATTAAAAATGAAGTGTGTTATGTATAATAATCATAAAATACATTTCACTTGTCCACTATTAAGAAAGGACTTTCCTTTTGCTAAAATATGAATAGTCTGGCTTCTGGTAAACAATTTCATAACATCATACAATTCGACAACCAGTTCTTCAAAATTGACAAATTATATGCAATTAAATGCAGGTACCTTTTCAAGTTGCTCATGTAATATCTACCTAATTAAAACAGTCGTTTTTCATATGAAAAAAGACCATGAACATTTCCCTCTTGCTGAGCAGAATGTGTTCTCCTTTCAAATTTCAAATCCCCACTGTACATCATGGTTCGTAAAGCAGAAATAGATCTAGCTCCTATATCTTGACATCCATGTTTAATTCCACATTGCAAATAAGGCAAGAATTTTAAAACAGTTCCTTTGTCTACTATTGAACCACTAACACCTTGGGCTACCTTCATTTTGTCCATTTCGTTATGGAAATATCTATCCATTGCAGAACCATGTGCATCTTTTCTATTCATGGCTTCCAAAGAACCCATTCCTCTGTACTTTTTAAGACGCACACCATCGCTAAAGAAATATTCACCTGGCGCTTCTGAAGTTCCAGCCAACAAAGATCCCATCATAACAGTACTAGCCCCCAAACTTAGGCCTTTAATGATGTGACCAATGGATTGAATGCCACCATCTGCTATAACGGGTACTCCAAATCTTCTTGCGTACTCCGAGACTTTATATACAGCAGTTGCTTGAGGTCTACCAACAGCCATAACTTCCTGAGTTATGCAAATAGAGCCAGAGCCCATTCCAACACGTAAGGCATCAGCACCAGCTTCTATAAGATTTTTAGCTTGTGAAGTAGTTACAACATTTCCAGCAATCACTTGCAACTCAGGATATTCTGACTTAATGTACTTAATCATGTCAATCTGGTATTTAGAATTGCCCTGAGAGGAATCCAGAACAATTACATCAACACCTGCTACAGCAAGAAGTTGCAACCTCTGTTTATCAGAATTACGTGTGCCAATGGCCGCACCAACTAACAATTGTTTATTTTCATCTTTACTAGCATTTGGGTAACTCCGATTTTTCTTCAGATCAGTCCTTGCCATCAGAGATACTAGTTCTCCTTTGTCGTTAACAATCGGAAGCTTTCCCTTCTTAGATTTCTCAAGGATTACATTTGCTTCTTGCAGCGTTACACCAGCAGTTGCTGTGATCAAATTCTCTAATTTTGTCATAATTGTTTCTAATTTTGTTAACTGCTGATTTGGAGAACTCTCTAAAAAGTCAATATCCCTAGATGTGACAATACCCAACAATTTACCCCCAACTTTGCCCGTATCTGTGATAGGGACACCACAAAAACCATGCTCAGACTTGACATTCAAAACATCACTGACTGTATGATGAGGTGACAGAACAAGTGGGTCTCTAATGAATCCATGTTTATACTTTTTCACCTAGAAGCACAGTTGAAAAGAAATGTCTACTATGCAATACTAATAGTATACGAAATTCAAACAATTCTAATGTTTACAAGGTCTATTTTTATCTCTTCCCACGTACAAAAAGGTAGACATAAACAAGATTAAAATAAATGCACTAATAACCTAATGGAAGCTGTTTTACAAAGAGATTTTCGTTATTACAACATAAACAATTACGTTAGCAATTAACATTTTTAATCGGTGAACGACGGTCAACAATTAATATTTATAATCTGTAATCGCGACTACATTTATTGATCGATTGGATCAATCGTAATATTTTATGGTTAATTATTTTTAATCGTTAGTGTGAATCGTACAATTACGTTAGCAATGTTAACCAATGTTACACGATTAATGCCGAGTTCTGAAACCGGTATTCGCATATGACTACGAAACGAAGACGCGGTAGACAAAATGGTATGGGAGTATTGCGCGGTCATTGCAGAAGAAACGGAAAACAATTTAAATTTAAATAGAATATACCTTGTGCACCTCGTTGGATTGGTACTCAGGTGTGCAATTGTGATGTATAATACCGATTCCGCCGCAAAGTGCCATGGCAATAGCCATATCGGATTCTGTAACTGTGTCCATGGGAGATGAAACAAGCGGTGCCTTGAGGAGAATTCTCTTGGTCAAAGGCGACACTAATTCAACTTCGTCGGCGGTAAAGTCTATGTAGCCCGGTAAAATAATGAAATCGTTGTACGTAAGACCGTCACCGTTGGCAAACAATTGTGTTGCTGAAAGTCCGTCATCCGGTAATGGTACGTCCGCCGGTTTCGTATTGCCGATCATATAGTCTGCCATTCTGTACGATTTTTTAATTATTTCGGGTCTTTCTTTTGAAAATTCGTTAAAATTATAATTGATAAACGCAACTAGCGTACGAGTGAATCGCCGCTCACGTTCTTTTGGCACAAATGTTTCGACGGCAATTCCACCGTAGTTACCCGCTCGGAATCACCAGGCGAAATGACCGAAATCAACGTGCGTACAGTGCCTTTGTAGTGTGCGGGTAAATTATGTTTCCGTTTTTCGTACACTGATGACGCTGCTATCGTTTATGGTTTGATAGTGCGATGTCAGGTGGCTACCATGAAGTTGTTGATAATCGCAAGTTCTGTAAATGATAATGACCTCCCACCCCTCAGCGTTTTGTTCGCTCCGTTCAAGAGTAAAGGAAGCTATTTTATCCTTGCTGTCATTGGTTGGTAATTTGTACGATAATAAGAATGGTACATGTTCAGTCATGCCTTATACCATAATAAGCATTTTTATCCCCGCCATTTTAATGCGCATCCAGGCCGCGTAGTTGCTTTAGAAAGAGAATGGGAGATGATCGAGAGAGACGGAACGAAACCAGCGGGCTCTACGCGTGAGAAATCTAGGCCGTTTCACTTTACCGTGGTTTGCAGTTTCACTCTTTTCGCGCATCCGTACGCCTGGCGCGTACTTAAAAGTACAAGTCGAATATCGCGCCAAGCGTTTCAGATGGAGAGCCAGGCAAACAAATGCGCGAATAAAGTGAGACCGCAGGCATGGTAAAGTGAGACAAACTACATTGTCGGTGTAACTTGTTTCGCTTGTGGTTGGGCTGATGTCATACTCTCTTTCTCTCTCACCACTTCCCCTCTTTGTCTAAAACTGTGAGGGCAGCACTGTTTAGCCGTGAAGCGTCAACCAATCAGAGGAGAAGCAATTTCTCTACCTGCTTCATAATTTTAAGCTGATCCCCCCTGTCTTGGTTTACTACGATGAGGCATTACTGTATGTAAGCAGTCACTTTGGTTTTGTCTTCTTCCCTCATTAACTTCTTTCTTTCTCTTGAAGACCTACACACTAACACTGCTGATTGCACAATGGAACAGTGGGGAGAGAAATACGCACACAGTTATGAAGGTCACTTTAATTGATTGATAAGAAGCGTTTACTGCATTTAAATGTCTCCCTTGCTGACTCAATTTGGTAAAATGGTATTGAAAGTACTAATTTCAAATGGTGATAGTAATAGGTATCGATTCTAAATAAAGTAGTGAATTTTATTACTCTAAGAAATTTCCAACAATTGTCATCAGAAAATTTAAAATTTAAAAATTATCGCCATCTTTCACAAAACTTTCTGAATGTAAATGACATTCAATTTATAGTAAATACTTTATTTTGAATAAATGAGGCAAAGAATTTTAATATCGTTGAGGAGGGTTTATAATTTAATTATATATATGTATCAATAAGAATTGACTGGGTGATGATTAAAGATAAATTATCTTAAAAGACAATTTTAATTGTAAATAAATACAAAAATCCAGGTACACGGGTGCAAATGCAATTATAAAAACATGTGTCTGTTATAAAAACGGATATCAACTTATATCAATAAAATCATAGTTTTTAAGCTTCAGCATGGCACGATGATCATCGCTAATTTATACGATATTGTTGCATTTTTTACATGCAGGCTAAAAATTATATAAAATTATGTAATGTTTGATATGATTAGTGTAATTTGCTGAAAGCATACATATTATTATAGTTTTATTTTTATTCTTACTGGGAAGAAAAAAATTTGTTTTATACCACTGAAGATGCCACCAAATGCTTCTTTGAACGATGATAAAATATAATCCATTATGAATTCTAAGTAGCTCAAATTTTCATAATCATCGTACACTTCGTAATTGAAGTAGTCATACAACATTGGTAAAAATATTATTAAGATATACATCATGCCACCAAAAAAGACTAGAAATTATGTATATCAATTATTAAATATACATGTATTGTAAATGATAGTAACCCGATACTCACTGATGGATTTAAGTTCTAAATATTGTCTATCATTTTCACTTGCTTTTTGATATTTTACTTTTTGAAATACTGTTTCACCATTATTAATCCAGTCTGGAATCACATTATTTTTACTTGTAGTTTGTGTGTCAACCAAGGGATCGGTTGGTGACTTTATATTTCCATTTAGATATAACTGACTTGTTTTCACAATATTTGGTTGAAGTTTTGCGTCTCTGAAAGCCATAAATCATTAATTACTTAATCAAATACACCATTTTTTATTGGGGAAACTTAAGTTTTTGTATAACTTACAATGCTTTATTAATCACGCTAGACAGAGCCGAACATTGTTGCAATGTTTGGAATTCAGGGTTCAAGTTTAATTGTTTCTGAAAATTCTTATCATATACTTCATTTGATTTTTCATTCGTAACTTCTGGTACATCCATTGTTAATTTATGCAAGTATTGTGATTCTATACTGTCCGTATTTTTTATTTTGTGCTTCAATTTATTGTAATACTCCCAATAACTTTTATTCAATAATTCCTGGGTTTTGGGTGGAATTCCTTTTGGACTTTCGACTGTATCATTTGTATTCGATCTTGGAGATATTTCACATTTGCGACACGGCTTTATGTTCTGATCACTTTGAAAAAAACTTTGCTCGACGGGATTTAAGTTGCTCTCCACTTGTGCAATTGCACGGTTCTCTTGGATGGATAATTTAGCATTGGAATGATGATCAATCTTTTTTATCCTGTGACTATTATGTTTTTGAATATTTGTTTGGCTACATCTATATTTATTAGATTGACAATTGGGCCATGCTGACGTGTAATCAGAATCCACTAACGCAGAGTGAGAATTTTTCTGAAAATAGAATCTTGCTTTTCTAGAAAGTTTTCTAGGTGCTATCTTCTGCTTGAATGTTATGTGAGGCTCAGAGCTTCTATAAAGTTTCCTTGTACACTCATTTCTTGAAGAAGTTAAATTTTGTTCTGATTTATTTCTCGCTTTTGTTTCATGATTGCATTTCTTATGTTCCTGGTGTGACTGATCTTGAACAGAAATACCTTTATTTGATTGAATACAATCGTTTTTTTCTTTTGATGTAACATTTGATTTTTCATAATCGCATGAATTAATCTTGTGATGTTTTGTTGCAAGCTTATTCGCATCATTAGGTTCTTTCTTTTTAACGTTCTTCAAAAAAATAAACTCAGAGTCTGTTGTTTCCCCTCCACTCGTATTACACATGTACTTTTTTATGCTTGCATGTTGCAACATACTATTGTGAAATTTCCCTTTAATTATGTTAGGAATATAATATTCAGAATCACTAGATTCTTGTAGTTTTTTAGGTACCTTTGAACTCTCTAGTTTTTTAGATAAATGTGTAATGTTTTTCCTATTTTCACTGGCTACAGTATTTTGTACTTTTAATGCATCTTTTGCCTTACTATCACTAGTATGTTTTTCTCCAGATATGACTTTTTCGGCTTCTAAAACTAATGGTTTGTGTGTGTCTTTCGCTTCGTCCAATGATGTTTGCTGAATTTGATTTATAGATTTATTATCAGAAGCATGCACACCGTGTTCTACTTCTTCTTTTAATGGAAATGCAATTAAAGTTTCATTTTTCTGTTTGGAATTAGACGGACATTGTTGCATTGCACTGCTAGCCTCTGCAGCAGGTATTGGAATTGGAATGTTTTTGTAAGTGAGTATCGGAACCTGCACATTGTAGAACTGTTTCAAACATTCTTGAGGTACAGTGATCGTGTCAAGTTGTATTGCATTTAAAGGATGCGGTTGTACTTTTGGGTCCATCACGAAAAGCAATTGACCATTATTTTCCTAAACGTATTAAAATAGTAAGGAAATTTATCTTTAATGTTAACAAAACGATGCATACTTGCACTTGTAAAGAAGTTACATCCACCTGTACATTTGCGTCATTCATCGATGTCCTCGATTGATGTTCGTTGCAACTTATACTTTTCATAAATTCAATCTTGTCTACAAATTCAGTTTTATCACTTTTCTGTAAAATATTATTCACATTCTTCCGTTGCTTCAGCATTGATTCTTCATTGCTATTTATATTCCTACTTGCTTTAGAATTCTTATATTGTCCTGATGATAGCTCCTTATGCATTTAATATTGATAAAATATTGTTAAAATTTATTAATACTCGTTAAGTGTATTTTGCTTACCAGTTTCGCATTTGGATCTTTAATTTTGCTTGTATCATATAATTCCTGTTTTTCCAATACTTGCATTTGATATCTATATTGACAAATTCATTACTGCATAAAAATTATCATACATAATAATAATAGGATATTCTCAATTAAAAATTATATGTACTGATTAATGTTCCTCTCTGGCGCTATTTTCGTCATTTTTTCATTGTCTAAAGTCTCCATGTCTCCTTGGTTTATTCTCGTCTCTGGTAGATCGTGGTTCCTTTTAATAGTTTTAACTCTGATAAAAAAGAAATATAAGTAGCTTTTTAAATTAATTATACTTAGTAAGTAGAGGGAAAACAAGATACTTTTTGAACCGAGGATCGACATAGCCAGGGAGTCTTTTTAATGTGTGTGAGCTTGAAGTATTTCTTTGATAATTAAAAGAAGAATATGCACTATCCTTTGTCACTGCAGATTTAGGAGATCTAAAATTTTGAATATACAAGTTCATTTATCTCAAATTTTAAAAAATATAAAATTAATACTTACTGATTTAATGGTGTTTGGACTATAGTACGACTTCTTCTTGGTGATCCAGTTAAAGTGATTATACATGGAGGTTCAACAGTATCGCTGAAATCGTCAACTATTTTGCGTTGTGGTATTTTTGGCCATGATGGATCAGCTGGTATGCTGAAAATATTTAAAATGATAGAAAACATGTTCTTCCATTATCATTAGAGACTTAATTTAACAAACTATACCGCAATGATCCTGCGTTGCACTTTTGTGGATGTGGTAACAAGTTTTCACTATTTACTAAAATGACACATGCGATTTTAGTATCATATTGTTAGTAGAAACTATAAGCAGATTGGATTCTGTTACCTTTTATGTTCAACTGAAGTGCATTTCGTTTATCTTGATATGCCATATTGAAGCAGTCAAACATTTCAAATCATTCTGGTTTTTTGTTCAATACATTTGTCCAAATACTTTACAAACTAACTATTTAAATGATTAATGGTATAAAAAAGCAAAAATTGTACAGGTTTGACGTTAATTTCATGTTATATAAAATACTTGGATTATACTTCAAGTTGAATCACACTTGTTTTCCTGGAGTCAAATGTTCTGAGTACCATACAATGAAAAATAGCTGGTATTGAAACAAATTTCTTTTTATTTGCAATAAGAGTTCTCTGTACAAAAGGAGCTAAGGTGTTATTGTGATCAGTCATTTTTATTAATGACATATATATTTATATAATATGTATATAATTATAATCTTAATTTTAAAATATTGT